TTCACTTTTGGTTTCTTAGCTGTGTTTAAATTATTTCTCTGCAACTATCGAAAAAGTTTCAAATCTCTAGTTGTTGGCACCAAAATGACTACTGAGCTGTGAGGTAAGGCAGAGTCCTGCACTACCCAGCCTGAGCATTCTGGCATTTAACTCTCTATGTCTTAATTTACTGTGCGGCCACTTTTGCTATAGAGTGTTCTAATACAACATTGGTATTATCTAGTGTCAGCAGAAAAATGTGCTCTTCCACTACACTTTATTGTTTTCTCCATCTACTGAAAAAAGTGTACATTTATCAGTCTTTTCATACCTGTAAGTGTTTCAATGTCAGTGTGAGAAATCACAATTGCAGTAAGTATTGATTGAATAGCCTGAACTCCAGTGGCAATCAAAAGCTTTGACCTCTGCTGTACTTCTATTGGTCAACGGTGCCTTCATTTCTTCTTTGAACAGTTTGTTTACAGTTGTGTACGAATGGGAATGTGTATACAGCTTATTAAAAAATAAAAGGGTAGGATCTGCAGGTGTCACAGGCTTCCATCTGTTGTTTTGTAATCTCTCAATTTAGAAAGAAGCAAAATAGGTGGAATTAACTTTATTTATTATTTTTATTTGGCTTAATATATATTTGGTTGAAAAAAAATACATATACAATATACATATTGTATATGTGTATTTAAGATGGTCCTGCATTTGGGTCAGAAACACCCCATGCAACACTACACGTTTGGGTAAGAGTGGCTGCAAAGCTACCTGGTGGAAATGGGCCTGGGGGTGTTGGTCAACAGCCAGCTGAATATGAGCCAGCAGTGTGCCCAGGTGGCCAAGGAGGCAAACAGTATCCTGGCTTGTATCAGGAATGGTGTGGCCAGCAGGACTAGGGAAGTGATTGCCCCCCTGTATTCGGCACTAGTAAGGCCACACCTGGAGTACTGTGTCCAGTTTTGAGCCCCTCCTGGCAGAAAGACATGGAGGTGCTGTAGTGTGTCCAAAGAAGAGCAATGAAGCTGGTGAGGGGTCTGGAGAACAAGTTTTATGAGAAGCAGCTGAGGGAACTGGGGTTGTTTAGCCTGGAGAAAAGGAGGCTGAGGGAGACCTTGTTGCTCTGTACAACTACCTGAAAGGAGGTTGTAGAGATGTGGGTGTTGGTTTCTTCTCCTAAGTATCAAGCAATAGGACAAGAGTTTTGCCTCAAGTTTTGCCAGGGGATGTTTAGATTGGATATTAGGAAAAATTTCTTCACCAAAAGGGTTATCAAGCATTGGAACAGGCTGCCCAGGGAAGTGGTTGAGTCACCATCCCTGGAGGTATTTAAAAGACATGTAGACATGGCACTTCAAGACATGGTTTAGTGGCAGACTTGGCAGTGTTACGTTAATGGTGGGACCTGATGATCTTAAGGGTCTTTTCCAACCTAAATGATTCTATGCTTCTATGATTTTACTTTTTTTTTTCAAAAAGGTTAGGTGATATTTTAATTTTAAAATGAAGTAACAGTAAAATAAATAAAGCATTACTGAAGTGACACATGCAGCAAGCAACTCTGTTGGATTCTCCACAGTTTGTAATTTCAAGCTCCTCTTTTTTGTCCCAGTCTAAATGGTTTGGTTTATGACAAATTCTTAAGTTCTGTATGAGGTGGCTCTTTGGAGCCTATTGCTTCTTGATTATAAAGCAATATTCTGCATAAATAAAGGATAAGATACTGGCAATAAGATCTGTGGGCTTTGTTCCAGAAGCATTTGTTCTCACGGTCGTCAGTACTGAGTAACTGCAGCAGGTATACAGATGCCTGCCTTTTTATTTTAATCTCTTATATACTCACCCACATAATTCTTCATACCCTGCAGCAAATTACACATGCATTGTTAATCAACCCTATTTCCCAACACCTCTGCCTACTCTTATGCTCTATTTTTCCTATGTTATATAGTAACTTTTGCAATGATGCAAGCCAGTGATTTTATTTCATCCTTTGGAGTACAAGACAATTACCATGTTGTGTTTAAAAAAAAAAGTCTCCATACAGCATTGTGCAACTGACATGATATTTCACTCTTTCTGCTACCTCATTATTATTTTAATTAAAAAGTAGTCATGGAACAACATCTACATTTCCACTCTAATAAACAAAAAGTACCCTAAAGTTATAAATGAGTATAAAAAAATTTACCACAAAGATTGGTGTCTAAGAAGTATATAAATATTGATAGCAAGGATTTTAAGAGAATGCCTACTGCATGAAATGAAGGGTCATACAAGTGCTATTATAAATGCTTATACAGATTCCTGAGGCTCTAGGTGCTACAGAAGAAGCTAGCAAAGGGAGGCATGCCTCTTTTTATTTCAGGAATTTGAAAAGATACTGTTTGTGTGTGTGTGTGTGTGCACGTGCATGCGCTTGTCCGCTTCTCTGTACCAAAGAAATTGGCAGGAACCTCTTATAATTGAAGTTATTTTAGAATGAAGCAGTCTGCCTAAATGAGGCTTTAAATGACGTACTGAAATATTTAAGTATCTGTATGCAGATACACATGGAAAAAAAATAAGCACCTTCAAATCAGAAAAACAAGACTTTAAAAGAAACAGCAATATCTGTTCTTGTGAGCTTCTAAAGCTGATTCAGGTGGGAACCTCTGTTGCAGAACTGCACTTGGCAGCAGATCTGGCATTTTCTTGTCTTCCTATTGGACAAGGAAAAACTGTAAATCATCCTACTGCTTTCCCACAGAATAATTTTTGCAATCTTGCGTTGGCGACGCTAACTAGGGAGACAGGTTAACCTTTGCTTTTAGTCAAGACTGCTGTAAGCCTTCCACTTAAAATCAGAGCCTTGATTGCTATTTTGAAACCTACCTTTCTACTTGTTAGTTTCACAGGCAGAAATGTAAACTGGTTTAGAAACTTGGCTTTTTGTTCTTTTTTACTCAGCGAGCTGGAGTGAAAACTCTTCTGCTTGCCAACCACAGATCTCTCTCTCGAGAAATAAGTTGGAGCTACCATAATGATATTTTACATGAGCCAAAAAAAAACCCAAACAGGTTTGTCTAGCACTTTGATGTCTCTCTAGTTGGTTTTCAGGTGTCCCTGGTATCCCTCTGCAGCTATGAAAGCTTGATTTCTTGCTTGTGTAAGCTGCAATGAATTATCATTCAATAACATTATTCATTCAATAACATTAATTATCTTGCTCCAGCAGGGGTGTTTTAAAGAAATACAGCTGACATTTAAAAGTGGATGAAATCTTGAGAGTTGTGGATTGATAAACAGGGTAAATATACCCAATTTGGTGTAAAGTTTCAGTCACTGAGAGTAGACAGGGTTCTGAGCACTGCAAACAAGCTTGTCTTGCCACACCACTGCCTAACACCACAATGCAGGTCTTATCAAATACATATGGCCCAAGGAAGCTTGTGTAGTTCTGATTCTTTACAAATGGTTGAGTCAGAGTCATAGCTTTATAAATTGCCTTGTTTTCTGGGAGTGACAGGGGAATGGATGTGAAAAGGGGATAACATGCAAGAGGGAGAGAAGGCAAGAGAAGGGGCAAGCTTCTGGAGCAAAGGGATAAAGAAAGCAGGCTGGGGATTGCAGCCAGCCCTGCAAGCTATGTGGGAATCCCTCTGTAATTTGCAGGGTCCTTACAGTCTCCTGTCACTGAACAATTTTAAACATTAATGCAAAGTCTGAAGATATAACGATTTTTGTTAACTTCAAATTAGGGGAAAAAATATCTATTGCTTATTGTTGCGATGTTTTTTCAAAGGTTTGGAAAAGGAGAAGGGAAAGTGGAAGACCAAAGACAGTAGCCTCAGAAAAAAACAGACTTTACTTTTAGAATTGGTGGCAGAAGAGAAAAATTGAGGGCAGGAGGAAAGTAGCTTAGAGGAGTTCAACAGTACCATGAGCACAACTGGAAAGGTAGTAGGAGACCAGCTTGACTAATGAGACGTTCAGTGACCTCAAGCACAAGAAACTGGTTTTGCAGGGTTGCTCTGAAAATCTGATCAACAAAATGATCTAGATTAAAAAAGAGCACAAAAACCGCCTTTGTCCTTCCCTCCCCCACTCTTTGTTTTTTGTTACACTGAATTGTTTCACTGATACAGCAGATAGTGTAGGCCTATAAACAACTGCATCAGCACTACTCAAGGAGTTGATGCCAATTCTTAGAGGTGAGGATCTCCTGCTGCCTCAGAGATGAGATGTTTAGAATGTATTCAAAGGACATTAATCTTCAATACAAATCTGAGATGGGAAAAGACTGGCTAGGCAGCAGTGACTTGGAAAAGCCTCTAAGGTGAACAGATTATGAGCTGCAGGTGCATCTACAATGTGACATTTGCCAAAAAAAAAATAAAAAGACAACTGGGATAAATCCTGGCACATCACATAACCTTCTCAATTGATTTAGTAGTGACAACGTGAATGTAGGGCCTAGTAGTGGACACTAGATTTTAAGAAAAATGCAAACTAGCCAGAGAGACATCATAGGAGAACAGGAAATATGTATGTATGAAATGGCCTGTGAGGAAAGACCAAAAAAAAAGAGTGCTTTTAAATCTAGGGAAGACTGAGGAGATGCATGGACCTTTCCAGCTTTGCAGCACCTTTTTTATACACTCTTCAGGGATTAAATGTTTTACCAATGTCCTCTAGAAACAGGAGAAATAGTACGGGGCTGCAACTACAGAACGTGGAGATCTGGCTCCTTGTCTCCAGCCATATGTATAACAAAATGCAGGAGGAGGTTTCTTGGGGAGGAATGTGAAAGTGTCTATGACTAGTGGTTTTAAAACAGGTTAGACAGGCATCAGTCAGGAATGGTTTAGATATGGCAGATGCTCCCTGGGAGCCAAGGCCAGCGAGCAAGACTCACACGGTTTCTTCCCATGTGACTTGCTGTGAACCTCTGGAATCCAGGTGAGAAACCTGGCCACGAAAAACACAGAAACTATGACCATACCTCACTGCACTGCAAAGTTGCGAATGCTCCTTACCTCGTGGCTTTGCAGGGTCACTGCTTCTCCCCACCACAAGGGTAACTTCCAATTTTGTGTTGTTCTGCTCTTCTTGGTGAATGAAACACAAATATTTCCTGTAGTTGGGGAGGAAACAGAGTATTTCATTTTAGTTAATGAAGGTTTTCTTTTTGATTGGTAACAGTCCACAGTTCATCTGTATTACCTGTGCTGAAATGCTTATGGCAACAGCTTATAGTAACGAGTTCTGCTCATCAGGAGAGATGATGCCTGCCACGGGACCAATAATGATGGCATCTCTCTACAAATGTTGTTGCTTAACCTGCTGGGCTCCAACACCTCCTGGCCGTACCTCGGTACGCTTTTATTTGTCCACGGTATGTTAAAAATCCCCTGGGAGATTGCACTTCTTCCCCTTTCCCAGCTGCTGGAAGGGAGCACATGGTGTTTCTCCCCGGCAGGGGCCGAGGGCTGAGCCGCGCTGTGGCTGAGGTGATGCGGCAGCGTCTGAGGGCCCGCCTCGGGAGCGGAGCGGGGCCGGGCTGTGGCACCGACGGGGCCCGGCACCGCGAGCCCCTCCAACCGCCGCAGCGGCTGTAACGGCAGCCCCGCGAGCCCCTCCAACCGTCGCAACGGCTGTAACGGCAGCCCCGCGAGCCAACCTCGCGCATTGCCCGCGCCGGCGAAGGGCGGGGCCTGGGCGGAGCCTGGGCGGGGCCGAGTGGTATCGGGCGCTGCCTGGCGCTGACCGGCAGTGCGGCGGCTCTTCTCCCCATGGCGGCCGGCGGCGACGGAGGGGCCTGCGCGCCCCAGCGGCCCTACGAGCTGGTGGTGTTCGGGGCCTCGGGCTTCACCGGCCAGTTCGTAGTGGAGGAGGTGGCGCGGGCGGCGGCCGGTGGGGAGCTGCGCGGCGGCCTGCGCTGGGCCGTGGCCGGGCGGAGCCGGGAGAAGCTGCGGGCGGTGCTGGAGCGGGCGGCCGAGAGGCTGGGTACGGGCCGCGGCCGGGGGGGCGTGTGGCGCAGCGCACTGGTGCGGGGACGGCGGGGCCTGCGCGGCCCCGTCCGTTGGGAGCCGCCCGCGGGCGTGACGGGACGGGACGGGGGGCGAAGCGGGGAGAGCCCCGCGATGCCGGGGCCGCGGCGGGGAGGCGGCGGCTCGGCCTGTGGAGAGGAGGGAGGCGGCGGGCAGAGGTCGGTGACGGCGGTCTCCGGTGCGCAGGGAAAGCGGCGCTCGGGGCGGAGGTCGGCCTGCTGCTGTGCGATGTGAGCGACGCGACCTCGCTGGCCACCATGGCGAGGCAGACCCGGCTGGTGCTCAACTGCGTGGGCCCGGTGAGTGCGGGGGTGCGGGCGGTGCTCCCGCGGCCTCCAGCGGGCGCGGCTCCCGGCGGCTCTGCGGCCCGCTCCGCGGGCGGGAGAGCCGGGGCGGCCGCCGGGAAACCTGCTGCCGGGCTGCGGGTGGCAGGAGCCGTCCAGGTGAAGTGCGGCTTTTTGGAGGAGAACCGCAAGTGCCGCCGCGCGCTGTCGTCGCCTGAAGGTTTCCCACCCCGATTTCTGCTGCTGTAGTTCGCAGACAGTTCTGGCTGAAGTGCAGCGGGGTTTGTTTTCAGTCTTTCCCAGGCAGCCAAAGAAACTGCTTGTGAAGTGGGGAGGAGCTTTGGGTTGGGCTGGGATGTTTGAAGCGGTGCTGGGGTGTAAAACAGAGCTGGAAAGAAGCTCGTGGACCTGCTGGTATAGGTTCTTGGCCCTTTTAAAACTACCAGCTGTGCTGTTTCCAGTGCATTCAGAGGGGATCAAAGTGCAAGAGTTGGACGGAAGGTCTCTGCAATTCAGAGTATTTAAGTAGGGAATATGCTGATAAAATGAGTGCAAAAAGCGTAACTTGAGATTGGATCTATCAAATTGGCCTGGGTGATCTTATCTTATGAGAGGAGTACGGTGGAGTAATCTGTGGAGCAAACTCCAGTATGAGCATGAAGTTTGTTATGCTGTGCCTTCTCTCCACCCCACCCTCAAGAGACTACAAGTGCTATTACATTTTTTCCCCACTTAGCAAAATCGGTAGCCTCTGAGTGTTACTTGCAGATGCGTATGTTAGAAAAAGCATGTTGGGTGAGTTGTGATGTGCGGGGATTATTTTGTTATGTGTAGTGTTTTTTCCTTTGATAGTATAGGTTCTTTGGAGAGCCTGTGGTGGAAGCTTGTGTTGAAAATGGTGCAAGCTGCATTGACATCAGTGGAGAACCCCAGGTATGTGACCCTAGAAAAATGCTACCTTATATCAAGGATCTGTTAAAGGAGTATCTGTTCGGTGTGTTTCATGTTTCTGCTAATGGTTTTGAACACAAAGGCAAATTCTGCCTCCTGATCTACACCTTCAAGGTGCATTAATTTTTTGTTAAAGTACGGTAAGGTGTTTTAGTTGTATAGTTTTTTTACTTTTACACAAAAGCCTCTTAGTTTCTTTCTGAAAATCCTAAACTTCTGAATTGTGCTTCAAGCCTCAGTTGTGATTCTGTGTAAGAATTTTGCCTTGTAGATCACACATCACATTTCTTTGCATTGCTGCAATGCTTTCATATGATAAAGCAGGAATAATATATATCTGTCTGAAAGATGCTCGTCAGAGGCTTGGAAGTATGCTGGGTGCTGTGATACAACAGTAAAGTGTTGATGGCTAATCTTGGGTATGGCCAAATCTGGAGTTCTGCTTAAAATATGTGTTCTTGTCTGTGTTTAGTTTCTGGAAGGAATGTACCTGAAATACAATGAAAAAGCTGCAGAAAAGGGAGTGTACGTCATTGGAAGCTGTGGCTTTGACTCAATACCAGCGGACATGGGAGTACTATACACCAGAGACAAGTTGAAAGGTGACTAAAATAAGTGTGACCTTATGCTGAAAAACAAATGCAGATGATGCTTTCATATAGTTTCCTTAAGCAGTAGTGCTTATGTGGAGACTTTCAGTCTTTCTTTTTGCCTGCCTTTATGAGCTGACTGGTTTTAACCAATGCTGGTAGATGAAAAATTTAGAACTAAATCTTACTCCCATTAGATTGGAGGAAATTGGTCATTAGGTGGAGGAGAGATTCGAGGAGAGGTTGCTCACAGAGTGAACAGAAGCTTCAGTTGTCAGCAGCAGGCTGTCCAGCCAGCACGTGGACATCTCTGGGCAAACCTCAGCACACTGTCTCTTGTGAGAGACTTGTAGGGAAGAGACAGTGGGGACAAGAAGGCTGAGGGAAAGGGATCACAAATTAGTGGTCATCAGATTTCATGAGTTTTCTTTTTCTAGCACAAGTACTGAGAAGCTGTTACCTGAGTGTATGGGACAGTGCCATACAGTGCCTCTTTCTTTAAGAGCACCTAGATGGTAACTGAAGAAGGATAAATACATTTGAGAAAAGATGTGAGATTATTTAATTCTATGCAAATAGTACTTGGTCCTTAATCTCAAATGAGGATAGTCTGTTCATCAGGCCTGCCTTTCAGTTGCAAGGGCTGGTAAGAGTATCCAAATGTTTTGCTTTTATGGACTGTTAAAACTGCCATTAAGTGGGATTGCTTACTGGATCTGACTGGAGGGAGAGGAGAGGCATGGAAATGAGTATCTGTTGTTCATGGGATTATACTTTGATCTTTGATGTCTGATACTTGTTTTGAATAAAGATGTCTTTTATCTCTTCCTATTTTGACTTTATGGTGTTATCACCTGGCTATTCAGTTACTTGCCCACACAAGTGGAGTTTTACAATGTCTGAAGGAACTGAGCAAAAGACAACAAAACAACTCCTCTAAATTCTGCTTTGTTTTGCTTTGCTGTCCATCACAACTACATGTTCTTAGCAAAAAACAGGCTATGCTAAAATTAAATGTGTTAGGATTTCTTGTGTGGGGTTTTTTTTGTAGAGTTTGGGTTGGGTTTTGTTGTAGCTAAGGTCTACCAAAATCTGTCAGTCCCTCTTGGTTTTCACAGCCTATGTCATATTTTCTTTTGAAACTAGAAGAAAAACTAAATATGGCTCTGAATATTCTTTTCCTTTTTTTCATTTATTATTTACATCATCTCATTAACTAGATAAGACAAATGAAAAACGTAATGAGTATAGTGTTAGTGACCCTTATTTAAGTACTTCACATAAGAAATTTGATACTTGCTGACTAAAATAGCTATGGAACTTAATCTTAGTTCATTTTACTTTGAGCTAAAGATGTGACTCTGCCTTTTCAACTAATTTTATCAGTGGCCTGCTGTTGGAGTTTGCCAGAGTATACTCTGGCTTTGTGAACTAATGACTGTATATGCCAAGTAATGTTTTCTTCTCCCTTAAAGGTACCTTAACTGGTGTCGAAAGTTTCCTGACAGTGAAATCTGGGCCTGAGGTTGGTTGGTTTATACCTTCTTGGAAACTCGAGATATTTGTGATGACACCGCTGTAGCCCACTAGAATAACTGTCATTACTTTAATTCAGATGAAAGAACAAAGTGGCAGTTCACTGATGATGAGTCCAAGAACTTTAAGAGCTAATAAAAGTATCCCAAGCAAACACCCTTTTGTAAAGCTCATTTGCATAGAGTATCTGCCTAAATTTTGTTGTGTTAAGCTGTTTGAAAAACTATGTGGTTTTTGCAGAGATGTGGGAAAGATTCATATACAAGTAAGCTATAACAGATACACAGTGTATTGCCAGTAATCCTAGTGGATTGCTGTTGGGGGATTTTTTTTTGTTTTCCATGGGGTGGGGTAAGGTGTGTTTCAGTATACTTTCATGCATGAAATCACAATACATACATGTAATAATTTTAATTGTGTAATATATGTAATAATTCTGAGGTTGCTATTAAAATAATACATGAAACCTTGAGATACTGAATTAATTACTCTTCCATGGTGTGTTACCAGGGTGCTTGTATACATGATGGGACCTGGAAGTCAGCTGTTTATGGCCTTGCGGATCAAGACAACTTGAGGAAGCTTCGAAAAAAGATAGGATATGCCCCTGTTCCAGTAGTTGGTGCAAAACTTAAAAGAAGGTACAAGAAGCGTAAGATGTGAAATGTGCTATTTTCTGACAGTTACAGTATTTATTTTAAAAGTTAAGATACTCTTAAATACTAAAAAGATGCATTTAGGATTTCAATGTCATACAAACATGCAGATGCTCATCTAGTAGAACTGAACGTAAGTTCCATTTTACTGATTCATTACTGTTTTAATGAAAACGAGAATACATCCCAGCATTTACTGGGTCTTAAAATGAACTTGTTCTAAGAGACCCTTAGTGATGTGGCAAACCTGAATTTCATTTCAGAAGTGATCAGTAGAAGGGGAAAAAAGAAACGTGAAGAGAATAATATTTTGATTATCAAATTCATTCTTGCTGTAGCGTATGGAATTTTGAGTTGAGCATGGGTAAATTTGGAATGAGTTGCTTTCAGTGAAAAGAGATAATGTAAAAATGCTTGAGAAAAAGCCGGTATTGGTAGGGCTGTTATGATCAGGTTTTTTTGTTTTATCTGAATGTTTTTTTTGACTTCTCTTTTTTTTTTTTTTTTTTTTTGCAGAGGACTTCTGTTTTACAATCAGGAATTTATCAAATTCATTCTTGCTGTAGCGTATGGAATTTTGAGTTGAGCATGGGTAAATTTGGAATGAGTTGCTTTCAGTGAAAAGAGATAATGTAAAAATGCTTGAGAAAAAGCCGGTATTGGTAGGGCTGTTATGATCAGGTTTTTTTGTTTTATCTGAATGTTTTTTTTGACCCTGTCTTTTTTTTTTTTTTTTATTTGCAGAGGACTTCTGTTTTACAATCAGGAATTCAAAGAGTACTCCATTCCATTCATGGGATCTGATGTTTCTGTTGTGAAACGGTCTCAGCGTTATTTGCACACAGAGTTGCAGGAAACACCTGTAAGCTACTGGTTTTTGTGTACTATGTCTTTATTACCATTTTCAACAAATCTTTCCTTTATGTAATAACTGTTCTTAGTGCAGATCTGGGTTTCTGTAGTTTAGTACATAGTAATGAACTGTGATGTGCTTTTGCTTCTGTAAAGAAGGAGGCTTGTTCTATTGGTCATCTTTGGAAGCTGTTTGACAGGTCCAGGTTCTTCTGGGTTTCATACCACTTGATACTCTGCCTGATTGATGAGCTTACTTATTGCTGTTAGCATAATAGTTGCAAGAGTCTCTCACAGGATTCGCGTGCTGCCTGGTTTCTCAGTATGTAGTTGTGGGGAATGGACGCCTTGGGTCACAGAAATATTTGAAAGGTAGGCTTCTTGATTGTCAGGAATGATAAATACATTACATTCTGTGCAGAGGCTTTTTGTTGTATCAACAGAACTTCTAAAAGCATCTTAATTGCAGTCTGTGTAACTATAGTCAGGTCAGTATCATGTAGTAAACATTCTGATAAAGAATTCATATGCTGCTTATTTGCATCTGGAGAATTCTTTGATGCTTATGGGGTCTGGTGTGCAGAGTAAAGGCAACATGAAGTGGTGGTGGTGGAAAAGATGTTTAGTTCCTGTTTTCCGTGGTTTCCTGAGGGCAAACCAGCACTGACAATCCGTATAACAGCTGTGCAGAATCACAGGCATCAGTTAAGGCAAAATAGCACTTCAAAAATATACTTAGAAACTACCAATGAGAAAGGCTTGCCATTGCTAGTCCAGAATTCTAAAGTAAGGCCTCATTTCTCTTAAGCACAAACAGGAGGAAAGATCATCTTGGGAGAAGAGCATGAAATCAGATACCAAAACACATCTTTCTTTAAAGTTTTCCACTCTTATTTACCATGCTCACTCCCTCACCATTCTGTAGTTATATTGTTTTCTCATAATGAATTATGAGTGAAGCATTATTCAAAGAGTTGCTTAAAACTAAGGCAATTGTTTAAGGCCCTATGAACAGCTATCTGTCATATCAAACAATTGCACCCTAGTTTGGGGGTAGGTTTATTTTTACAAATGAATTGATGCAAAAATTTCAATGTAAATTCTGTCACTGAAAATCCGTTTTTGCCTCAGGTGCAGTATGGCGCTTATGTAAACGTAGGTGGTCTTGGCTCTGTTATCAAGCTGATGTTTGCTGGCATTTTATTTCTTCTTCTTGTGAAGTTTAGCTTTGGAAGAAAACTTCTGATAAAAGTAAGTGTTCAAAACACAAAAGAATTAAGTGGACATATTTTTTCCCCTCTGCCTTACTGTTGGTCTTTTAATTTGTCATCTCTTTTTTTTTTTTTTTTTTTTTTCTTTTTTTCCTTTTCATTAACCC